TAATATGATGTTCATTTACACACCACATCACAGATGTTAAGCGACATATACCTGCATTTGCAAACTTAACTACATTTTTTTTTCATATTATTGGGAGCTCTTACAGATATTATAACAATCCACAGTTCAATTCGATAAAGCATGTCTGTATAAATGCTGCTACCATTATTTTCAAAATATTTTCTCTCTTCTTGCACTCTTTGCTATCAGCCAGCCCCCCTTTATCCCCATGTCCCACCCTACCCTCCATGAACCTTTTCCCCCCCTATCTTTCACCATCCACCTACCGTTCTGTTATTCACTCCCCTCAAGTGGGGTTACATAGTCATCGCTGCTATCAGTCGTCCCCCCACTTCCCTCCTTAACAACTATTTCTAGCTAGTGTTTCATGAGCTCTTAATTGTTCCAATTAGAAAAATAGTTTTCAGTTCCTTATTTTAATCACAATCCTTGGTACATAATGCGCTATTACCATTGGTCTTTGCATGGCCCTCTCTTTATGTAGTTAATAACTTTATCAACTATTTTAAATAGTTAATTAACTATCTTAAATAATTCAGTAAACATTCACGAACCCACTACGCCATTAACAAAGGCTAACGCTGGAAAACCACCAGCATCAAACCTATGCCAGACCTGCCTATTCCACATCCCTGCCACCTCCACCTGGTCAAATGTCATCTAAATTCTGTGTTCTTCTTCTTGTGCTTGTTTCTCTTGATAATTTTGTTGAATCTTTGCATATTACAGAAAATAAACTATTGGTTCATCATATCTGTGAGCTCTCCAACTGAGGGTTCAATCATTTATTGGGAGGTGAGGGAAAATCAATTTAGTAGTCTAAGCAATCACTCAAAGGATAAGATGAGCAAGTGCTATTTGCATAGTGTATTAGGTATTATAAGTAGCTTAAAGATGCTTCAGTACATATATGGATGTGTGGGGGCCTTACGAAAATAGATGATTTTGTATAAGGGACTGGAACACCCAAGGATTTTTTGCATCCATGGGGGAGCTGGAACAAATCTAGTGTGGACACTGAGGGAAAACTGTATTTAACCATCTTGTTTTTAACAGGAAAAGATTACTAACATCCTACATTATAACCTTTCTGAAGTTAATTTTTCTTTACATTACTATGAATCTCTCAGACTGTTGTCTCTGTTTTTAACAGTCCGCTGTGATGGTTATATATTCTGTTCACCCATTCTCCTGATGGACTGCCATCTGGATTGTTCTCAAGTGTGTGTCAGGGTTGCATCCTCACACCACACTTATTCCATCTGTATGCTGAGCAAATCATCAGAGAAGCTAGACTACAAGAACATAGCATCAGGATTGGGGGAAGACATCAGCAACCCGCAGTATGCAAATGACACGACCTTGCTTGCTGAAAATGAACTTGAAGCACTTGCTGATGAAGATCAAGGATTTCAACACAAAAAAAAGGATTTCGGTATTTCAATAAAGATTACAATTCAATGTACAGAAGACCAAACTCTTCACAACTGGACCAATAAGTAACAGGATGGTAAATGGAAGAAAGAGGTAACATGATGGTAAATGGAATAAAGAGGGAAGTTGTCAAGGATTTTGTCTTGCTTGGATGTAAAATCAATGCTCACAGAATAACAGTTAGGAGACCAGAAGACATGTTGCACAGGGTAAACAAGCTGCATAGGACCTCTTTTAAAGTGTTGAAAAGGATGTTACTTTGAGGGCTAGGCTAAGCCTGACCCAAGCCGTGGTATTTTCAATCACTTCATTACAGAATCATGAAGACTAAAAAATCAGCCTGTTTGAATAACAGTGCTGACAAAGAATATTGAAAATACCATGGACTAACAAAAAGAACAAATAAATATTTTTTGGAAGTATAGCCAAAATGCACCTTTGAATTGAGGGTGGCAAGACTTCTTCCCACATACTTTGGATGTTACCAGGCCAGATCGGGCCCTGGAAAAGGACACTGCTTGGCAGAGGCAGTGAAAAACTGAAAGACCCTCGACAAGATGGACTCTCTGACACAGTGGTTGCAATGATGGGCTCAAACAGAACAATTGTGAGGACGGCACAAGATGAGGCAGTATTTCAGCCTGTTGTAACTGGGTCGCTATGAGTAGCAACCAACTTGATGGCACTAGAGGTTTTGCTATTGTGGCGTGCTATGAACGTTCTTCTACCTGGCTCTTGCAGTACATGAGTAAGAATGTCCTAGGAGGAGATAACAGGAGACTTTTCCAATGTGGTGCCGCCACCACTGAAATATTGAGATCCTCTATGGATCCATAACTCACACTCCTGGGTCTTCCTACTTGCTCACTGCCAATCAGGTAAGTTTAAAGTAATACCTCAGTGTGGTCTTGACTTATTTTTTTCCTCATCAGAACAGAAGTTGAACTTTCTGTATCCTAATGTTCATTTCTTCTCTTGATAAATTCTTAATCATGTGTTGTGTCCATTTCTGATTTGAGGTTGCTTCTATGTTCTTGATAATAATTCTTGATTAGTGTGTATTCCATGAATATCTTATTATATATGCCATTTTCATTTTTTTACCTGATTTTTAAAAAATATTTATCTTAATGGGTAAATTTGTCAATATTTGTTTCAGTTTAAGAAGTCGTTTCCTATAATATTTAAATAATAACATGTAATTTTAGTACTTAATTTTTGACACCTAAGTCCATATCCTTATGAAGCTAATTCTTTTATGTGCTGAGAAAAATATCTAGTTCATCTTTTTTCAGATGGACATTTTTCTCAAGTTCATTTTAGAATAATTCACACATCTTGCATGCCGCTTCTTACATATATGGATCTATTGTAGGGCTCCAGTAAATTTGTCAAGTTGTCTCTTCATGAGCCAATATAACGTGGGCTTCGTTAAAAACTCCAGCTGTAGGTGAAATGAAAGCACAATCGATCCTACTCAGGACTGTCCGATTTTGATACAGGGGTTATACTGGCCTCACAGAATGAGCTAAACTGTTTGTTGAAAATTCAAATAATCTGTGACTTCAAATGCCATCTGAAGTCATGTTTTATTTGGGTGAAGTTGTGCCCAACTGCTTTAATTTCTTTGATAGCTATAGAATGATATGAACTTTTAAATCCCTCAAGTTACTTCCACTAACAATGACTGGATATGGCTGTTAGTAGTTTCTATTACGAAGGCAATCGGGGCAGGAAAATAAGAAGAGAATCCTAACAGTTCACTCCTCATTTTCCTCAAAATTTCCTGAGGACTGCCCGTTGGGGAGGAACCCAGTAGTCACACAAGTTCAGCATCCTGGAAAGATCCAGAATTGCATTGATGCGTTCTTATGGTAGATTGGCATTTCAAAGCAACCAGCTGCTTGCTCTGCAGGGCAAAGAGGAGGCTTTTGGTTCCCACAGAGTCTTAGAAACCCACAAGGGCAGTTCTCTTGTGTCCTACAGGGCTGCTAGGAGTCCAAATCGACTTGATGGCTGTGAGTGAGTAATGACAGTGGAATTAGGTATTTCTTTTCGCTTTTCCGTACTTTCTATAGTGTCGTATTACTCTTATAATAAAACTAATACCAAAAAGTATTGCCAGAAATGACAAAATAATAGTTGTACTTAGGTCAAAGCAGCCCAATTTAAAGGTCTACAAAATTAACTATTTAACTGAGTTAATCAACGATTTCAACATCTAAAAATCTTTTATTAAGAAGTCTTAAGAACTGCAAAAACAAATCTCAAGTATAATTACCTATGGTTAGCTGAAGGATCTCCCAGAGCTTTGAGCATTTTTAAATAGATTCTTCTAGCCATCCTATCATTTGAGAAAGTTTTATAGAATGCTTGACAATGTAGGAGATAAGAGTACAAAGATGAATCTGATGAACTATAATTAAAATGCTAATTTAGGCTGCTTTAAAAAAAATTCGCTGCCACAGTTCAGCCCCCTGAAAGACTATGTGCTCCTGTGGTGCAAAAAAAGGCAATGTATTTAGATGTATTTCTACAATCAATATCAGAGTGTGGGTAAAATACTGGAAGAAAAAAAATGATACTGAATTTTAAGTGATTCCTTGTGCAAACCATGAAAAAAGCCCAAAGAATAATTATTTCACTTTTATTCCTTAGTAAATAATCCATCACATCAGATGTACATGAACCCAACTATTAATTTCACTGGGCCCCGTTGAATATCAAAATCCCCAAGAAGTTGCAAATGCCTAAAAGGTCATTGGATGAGGGGTTTTTTGTTTTGTTTCCTTTTTCCCCCAGAAATGCTCATCTTTCCAATGGCCTGTCGTTACTTCCCACTCCTTCACTTACATTCGTCTATCCGTTCTCTCCTTGACCATCCGTTCTCTCCTTGACCGAGTACTGAATACAGTGAAAACAACACAGAAAGCTCCTGGAGAAACTGCCATTATTTTTACTTCCCAATTTCCCAACAACTTTTTGAAGTCCCTTCGTATTACTTGCTTTGCTTCCTGGACAGATTGATTTTTTTCCCCTTCCCCTGGACAGAATTTTATACTCTATGTTCTACATTTTTACTTAAATTTCTCTTGGAAAAAAGTAAGCTGATTCGTAATTACAGGACCTTTCCGCTGAATCTAGAGAAAGAAACACCGACTAGAAAAGTCAAGGCAATCATCTCATACAGGAAAGAAATAAAAGGGGGGAGAGAGCCCTTCTTAAATTAAGCTGATCCCAGTTTTGTCCATCTGTGTTCTAATTTTAAGCATATCCTAAAACTATAGACCAGTGGTTCTCAACCTTCCTAATGCCGCAACCCTTTAATATAGTTCCTCATTTTGTGGTGACCCCCAAACTTAAAATTACTTTCATTGCTACTTCATAACTGTAATTTTGCTACTGTTATGAATCAGGCGACCCCTGTGAACGGGTCGTTCGACTCCCCCAAAGGGGTCGGCGACCCACAGGTTGAGAACCGCTGCTTTTGACAATCCCGTTCCTGTAAACAGTATTACAAAAGTTTGTTCTCGGCAAGTTCTTACTTGTCTCTAGATGCTCCCAGGGCAAGGACAATAGGATCAGCAATCTCTAGCATGGACTGCAGGATCGAGGCTACCACGATGAAGAGGATAATACTGAGGAGGAAGGCCCGATGAACAACCTGTAGCTCTATCAGACCAGTCTGCACTGCCAGGATTAAGAGTGTGACTCCTTCCGTCATGCCCCTGAAAAACCAGGATATTTTCAGAGAGAGAAAGAGAAGCACGAGAATCAGAATCTCATTTAATTTTTAAAGAAATAATCCCAAAGCTTAGACTGTTACATATTTGTAAATGTATTCAAACTAAGAATTTTAAAATGGATCAGTGTATTAGCTTCCTATAATCATTATTACATACCATTGATTAGATAGTGACTACATGGACAAAAGCATAATAGGTATTATTTTAACATATCGAGGGAGGTAAAAAGCAATGTGTAAGATAAATAAATGTTTTCCCTGCGGACTTTCTAAACGAGCCGGGCACCTCAGCTACCCTTCCAAACACAACAACCACTGCCATCGAGTCAGTTGTGCCTCCTAGCAAGCCCACAGGACGGGGAGCAGGGACCAGAAGGCATTAGAGACACAGCAATTAACTGCAGGTCTGAGGCCTTTATTTGGATCTTGAGGTGAGCAAAAAGAAGATTATCAAGGAAATTCAAACACCAACTGAACCTTTGCTGTCAAGAAATTCTTTTTTTACTGGAAGTGATTATTTTAGTATATGTGCTCCCAAAGTGAGCACTACTGGAAGTGATTATTATAATATAGTTGTTTCTTAAAGACTTATAAATGAAAATATCTATGGATAAGATTAAATTACATCTAGGATGTATGCCCAATGATACTGTTGCTGTGAAGATAGGAAATGGATACAAGGGTACATGGTATTCATGGTACTATTTTCTCACCATTGCTGGTTTAATTTTCCTAATTAAAAAGGCGAGGAAGAGGAAGGCGGGTAGAGGAAGGGTAGAGGAAGGGAGGACAGACTTGGGGCAGAGATGGAGGGAGAGAGACAAAAGTGAAATCCAGCAGCATTATTCATAGCACACACAAAAAGCAGCAGCATACTATGAGTATGTCTTCATTAAAAACCTGAGACTTCGGGACTAGTGGTGAGAGTGGCAATACCGGGAGGGAAGGGGGTGTAGGAAGGGAGAACTGATCACAAGGATCTACATATAACCTCCTCCCTGGGGGATGCGCAACAGAAAAATGGGTGAAGAGAGACACCGGACAGTGTAAGATATGACAAAACCATAATTTATAAATTATCAAGGGTTCATGAGGGAGGGGGGAGCGGGAAGGGAGGGGAAAAAATGAGGAGCAGACGCCAAGGGCTTAAGTGGAGAACAAATGTTTTGAGAATGATAAAGGCAGTGAATGTACAAATATGCTTTACACAATTGATGTAAGTGTGGACTGTGATAAGACTTGTATGAGCCCCAATAAAATGATTTAAAAACAAACAAACAGACTTATCTTTATGTGTAATCGTATCACCACCACATAACAAAGAATGCTTTAAAACACAGGTGGAAAACCAAGATATAGCACAGTACATATAATGTGGAAGTGAACAAACAGCAATAAATACATACACGTTTTTCCCTGTAAGAAATTCTAAATAATCAGCAATCCGTAACTGTTACGGCACTTACTTTCTACCTTTTGAGTGGTATGAATTTATATACAGGTATTTGCTGGAAAGGGCAGTGAATAGTGGGTCATAATTATTTAGTTTTTCTTTTCCTCTGGTATTTGAAAAAATAAGTTTTGCCAATTCACTAGGTAATCACTATCTATGAATACCCAAATATTCCATGAAAAATGTATGCACGTTAAGGTTACTTATATAAATGAAGACCTTGAATATCTATGTTAAAATATGTTCTTGAAATAAGGGTTTCCCAATACATGATTAATCAGGTTTCAGCAACAACTAGATTAACCATTTTGTATGCTCATCAAAGCTGCTATTGAAACTTTGCTCAGTACTCAAAATATGTTCAAACTTGGGGGTGGTGTGGGGAAGAGAGGAAAGGTCTTTAAGTGAGAAATAAGATCCAAACCCCAGTCTGAGTAGTTACAAAAGGAGGAAAAGTAACACTGAAACTCACTTTGATACCTTTGTGGCACTTGGACTAGTTTCAAACAAAAAGTGTAAAATATCGAATTTCATATTATTATGACTACAGAAACTTATAAAAGACGCTGGTGGTCCAACAGGTAAACATTTGGTTGCTATCCCAAAGGTTGGTGGCTGGAGCCCACTAGTTGTTTTGAGGGCAAAAAAATCCCCTAAAGATGATCACCCAGATTCCCGTTGGTGTTGCGCGTCCTCTACTGTACCTGGGGTCCCCTCAACAGCATCTAACAGCAACACACTTCAAATGGGAACAGGCGAGAAAGTAACGGTCCCTTAAATCTAGGGAAAGGAAGTGTCAAACAGGTATATCGTAATCATAGAATAAAAATGCCTTGTACATGGAAATTTATAGATTTCTTCATAAGATTTTTTACTCATTAAAAAAAAACACCCTCAAATTCCCATTTCCCCTAAAATTGATCAACCAAAACAGTTCATTACCACTTCTTCACAAACTACAAAATTTAAGTACCTAGTCGTTTCATTCAGATGCAAGAACTTACCTGTTCATGGCAGGATCGTTCATGAAAGCCCGATAACCCTGCAAGTAAAACTTGCACAGCGTCAGCACGCCCAGCGCCACAAAAGAAACGGTGAAAACCAAGCCGAGGAGCGAGTAAGGGGTGCTGCAGCACTCAGCAATGCTGAAAAAGAGGGGCAAGGGAACAGATGTAAGCCACTGTCTTAACATAGAGCACTCTATGACTGCAAATAGCCGAGCTAGTTCAAAAAGGACAGTACATAGGAGTAGACTAGATTTGGCATTTACACAGAATCTGGTCTCCAAGAACATTTCACTTTAAGAGTTTCAGATCAGAATTCTATTTGCATACATGAGAATTCACCCAGGCAACTCAATGCCTGTAGCTCCATGTGTCTACTAGTTAGTAACTCACTGATAAATCACTTTATTCGTTAAGTTTCTAATTTTACATAGGTCAGAATATAAGAAAAAAATATCATTTTCTTGTTGGGTGCCACCAAGTATGGTAACTGATAATTACACTCTCACAAGTATAACTTCTGAACTATTTGAAAGTTTTCTCCAAGAAATGTTTTCACATATTGTCTAGTAACAGAAACAGATGACAAACATGGCTAAAACCACCAGTAGCCCTGATGGCGTCATAGTGGTTTTATGGTGTTCAGCCACTCCCACATGGCCAGATGTTGCAAACCTCGGTGAAGATGACTGTTGTTGCAGTCTTGGAAATCCACAGGAGCAGTTCTCCACTGTCCTACGGAGTTGCTATACAAACTGGAATGGATTCATGGAGAGTTGGGTTTTGGATTTTTAGCTAAAACCACTACTCAAATTTTATTTCTTTCTGTTAGGCAATGTCTGAAATTATTATTAAAGGTCTCTATTCTTGTCTCCCTTAGAAAAAACTGTTTACACCAGAGAGTATCATGTTATTGCATTTTCAAGATGATCACTATTTTTAAAATTTAAATCTCAAAGAAGAACATGGTGCTAGTTTTCAAATGTGTATCCTCAAGAAAAGGAAAGGTTTAGAAAGTTTTAGCTTTGGTGAACTGAAAAGAGTTTGAGCATTTATAAGCCATTTCTCTCTCTTCAACAAGAAGGTTTTTCATTATACTATTGTCTGGCTATAAAACAAACTTATCTTTCTCTCTCAGTTTGGGTACACTTTTTTTGGTTACATTTCACATTCTGATTATTACTAAGATTTGCAGCCATTTATTCTCCATTTGTGTGATGCCACACCAGCCAACCAGGGCCCTAAATGCTCTTCTCATTCCAGTGTTAAGATCAAGCCCACTTTGCAGAGGCAGCTCCTCCCCGTCTTATGCCGAGTGCCTTCCAACCTGAGAGGCTCGTCTTTGGGCACTGTCTCAGACAATGCTCTACTACTACTCGCACAAGGTTCTCAGTGGCAATATTTAAAATAAAAAAATAAACAGATTCTTCTTCTTCCTAGTCTATCTTCGTCTGCAAACTCCCCTGGAATTGTTCGCCGTGGGTGACTATGCTAGCATTTGAAATATGCAGGATTTCCAACTTCACAAACCCACAGAGGAGTGGTGGTTTTTATCAAGGGAATAAACAAATTTAACCAGGACCACAAAGGCATCAAAGACAGAGGATAGCACCTATGTTAATCTGTAAATTAACAAAAGAACCAAGATAGGAGCTTCTCAGTTAATTTAAAAATTTTCAACATTTTCCATTTTGGAAAAAAGACAAGGTTTTGGTTATTTATAAATTGGGCATGAGAAAACTTATTTTGGTAAGGCACCTAAACCTAATTTACTTTACTTCCTTACTTTGTATATCTGGAAGTCCAAATTCAATCACAGGTTCCTTATTTGTGAAGTCTATTGCACACTGCTATCCCTCACATAACCAAGAGTAAGGAGTTGTGTTTTGCAATGTTAATTAAATCTGATTTAAAATACCAGTGTTCTAATCCCACACTATGGCTATTATTAGCCTAACCAATCACAGGAGTGTGTATTATTCTTTTGTCTAGTTATTTTTTATCAGTTAACAGTCTCACATACACCACCCCCATGTTATTTACATAAAAATACACATAGAAAAACATAGTAGAGAATTGGATGTAAAATGTGTTTAACACTTGTGCTACTCTGTCGTTGAATGTTTACGAAAGCTACATATGAATTAAAATGGTTACTTCTCAAAAAATACAGAATCTGGCTAAGTGCACCAAATGCAGTCTACTTATTTGTTAAAATAGGTATCACCCATGCCATTTTCCTATTTGTACACAGTGCGCCTTCAGTGTCTATAAAACTCATGTTGACATTTAACTTTTACAATAGCCTAAATTTTAATAAATAATATCCTCAAGGACAGTATTTTTTTTCCTTAAACTTCATGTTCACTACACCACTTAGTGTATGGCCACCATTAAACTATATGTGATAGTTGAGAAACAATATTCTAAACCTAGAACCCATGGTCTCCCACATCAACTACTCTCACTTAACCTCAAGGAAGATGTATTTTTATCATTGCTTTTTAAGGTGATACTAAAAGAACCAAAGTACACACTCAGAGTGAAAATAATAAATGTTAGTCTAGGAGTCTTACAAAATGTTACCAGAGGAAAAGAGTCAAAAATAAATAAAATTTAACAAGGAAAGGAGTCAGATAACTTAAGATTTAAAAAACTAGAAACAACCTAAACTTTTGAAAAGTAAACCTTAGAAATCTTTCAAATGAAATAGTAAAGTACTATGATATACCCACCTTACAACTACAAGAGTCCAAAATAGAGAAAATCAGAAATAGTTCAAGTAACAGACTACACAAAAATCACAGGGTTTGAATCTGCCTCTCTTAGCAATACTACCTGGGCAAGATATCTGGTCTGGTACATATTGTTTCCTCAACTGTAAAATGCAAATGATAACAACAGTACCTTTATCTTTCGTGTTTGCACAAAGATTAAATGTGAGGTAAAGTGCTAATAACATGTCTGCTTCATGTTAAATACTCAATAAATGATAATTATTTTTAACAATGTCTTTTTATCAAAGTTAAAATGAAAACTGAAGAACTCTTTTTTAAAATTTGCTATTATCTTTCACCAAGTCATTTATTGGTGCCCACTGGTCCACAGTGCAGTCAAATGTACCACTATTAATGCGTTTTTTTGTCATAATAACCTGCCACATGCACAACATGCATAACACACCTAGGGCTTTAGACACTATGTGAAGGGGTTTCACAGTTTTAAAAAAATCCCCTAATATTTGTGTAAATACATGGTATATTAACACCTCCCTTCCTTGCTAGACCTGAATAAGATCCTGCTTTAATTCAATAGGAAGTAATGCATTGTGACTACAGAGATCATTTGCAAAGAACACTATTCCTGGATCAAAGTTTTATCTCCCCAGTTACTTCCAGCACCACCAGCTCTTTTTACTTACCTTGTGAGGAAAAGGAAAAGGAGCCTCTCACGTGATGCGGGTTGGTCTCGAGTACTGAAATAGGAGTAGATCTGGAGCGCAAATAGGACCAGCCAGAACACCATAAACAGCACAGGAACTACCAGCTGATTCCACAGGGACATTCCTAAGGCTAGCAGGCCATACACCTCCACTACCTGAAGGAAAAAATAAGATTAGATCAGTGTGCACAGGTAAGCACATCTTATCACTTCAATAAACACATTTAAACAGAAGAGCTGAATCTAAAGAATCCAAAAGTAAACTTTAGTTTTACTTTTTCATATTCTTGCAGCCAAACTCCTTTAAAGACTTACTTAGTAAAGAGGACACTTTTAAAATTTATACATTTTATCAACACTTGACACATACTGTCCTGGAAGTAGAAGTATAATGCCTGTTAGGGTTGAAGTCATTAGGACGCAGTTAAAGTACAACTAGTGAGGTCAGCAGAGCCCCCGGGTGGGGCAACTGTCACTCTGTGAGCTGAAATGGTGGGAAGGGTCCAGGAGACTAGGGATCTATTTCCCACAGGCAGGCCCTCAAAACTCAACGAGGCGCAGTTCTACTCTGACACACAGGTTGGAAAGGTGTCCAGTCAACAGACTCGTTCTAGTAAAATCAGCATCACCTGAGTGAAAGTGCTGTTTGGTGCCCTGAAGTGGACCTGAACTCACAGCAGCTACCACGTGATGTACTACCACTGCTCCAGAGTTTATGGGGCTAGAATACTGATGGGAGCAGATCCTGGGGGCTTTCTCCCTTAGAGCAGCTGAATGGGTTCACACCACCAAATTTTTCCGCTTCGTGTGAAGCTCTTCTAACCAATGGGAACCAGGGCTCCTTTGAATGAGACTGATCACCAGCAAAGCTAAGCCATCCTCAAAGGCTGTCTAATGAGATTTAGTAACCACAAAGTCTATTCAGAGTGATCAGGGCTGACTTGAAGGATGCAATGTTTCTTTGGGTACGAAAAAGTAAATACGAAAGGAAAAACTTTTCAGTATTTATACAGGAATGTCATCGGACAGTCAGTGGAAGAGTTAAACATTTAATCACTATAGAAGTAGCACTGGTGGTGCAGCTGGGTTAGGCTGCTAACCTAAAGATCAGCAGTTCAAACTGACCAGCTGCTTCAAAGAAAAAAGATGAGGCTTTCTGCGCCCATATTTACAGCCTCAGAAACCCAGATGCCATCCTACTGTGTCCTCTAGGCAGCTGAGTCAGAGTCGACTTGGTAAACACGGGATGTTGCTTGCAGTAAGGTTTTGCTCAAGTCCCTTTAAGATTTCCAGTCTCAGGTGTGGGAAACCCGTGTACAACCATATTACCGTACTAGTGCTTCCCCAACAGCACCAGAACCGGATGAAATCTTGTGTTCATTAAATACAGTAGTACTCCACATAATCAGATTTCGGTGAGAAATGTCAAGAAAATTTTGAGCATCAGAGCTCAAACAAAACATCGGAACCTAACCAATGCACGATTTTTGTAAACAAAAGCAGTTTTGTGTTTCGGTCACTCGGTGTTAGTTGGCAATGTTAGTACGCATTGTTTAGATCTTTTGTGGCTATAATCCAGGTATTTTGCTGTAATTTTCTTTGTTTTTGTGGCTTTTTGTACCGTTTTAAAATTAAAAACATGGGTCCAAATAAAGTGCTTTTTGAAAAGAATAATGATGATAAGGAACTGGATAACCGTGTTACAAATATTGTTGATATTTAGTAAACCCTTTTAGAAAACAGTTAAGGAAACGCCAACAGCAGACCACATTAGAAAGAATTTATTTTCCCCCAGAGAAAGCCAGCCAGGTCCTAGTGAGTGAGAAAAGGCAAAGGGAAAAAACTCCTGAAAAGCAGCTACCAGGTGATTTTATGGCAGGGGATTGCCCTTCCAATGACTTTCTCCACACCTCCTCTCCACATCGTGTCCACAGATCTAGGTCCACATCAATCTCAAGGTATGGGCCATACTGTAGTTGTTAAAAACTTTTTAATGTTGTTTCTTATTTAAATTATATTATTTAACTCTGAACTTATTTACTTTGAAATTTCTGTGTAATGTTTTGTAGAAAAAGGCAAGGTTAGGGTAAAACCTTGGTGGTCGAGAACGGATTAATCCATTTTCAGTTATTTCTTATGAGAAAAATTGATTCAGAACTCGACCTCATCGCATCTCAATGCTCCTTCTAGAATGGATTAGTGTCAGGATCTGGGGTTCTACTGTATGAGGAGCTACTAAGAACTGGTAAGAATAATTTGCAAATGTACAATTCCTAAACCGGTTTTAGTTAAATCAGTACCACATAAGAGAGATCTTTTTTAGTATTATGCACCAACAGATTGACTTGCAGATATTCTAGGTTTAAAATGTTTTCATCTATAAAGTGAACCTTTGCCCTACAAACATCTTAGTTGTAATTAACTTGTTCCCTCCAACAGGGCCGTTGGGGCATGGACTGCTCCTCACCCTTCCTCTCCCTCTGCTGCCACCAATGCCACTTGCTGGGGCCCATTCCTCTGGCTAAACTCAGCAGCAGCAGCAGCAGCAGCAAGGATGACCAGAAAGTCTCCAATGAGCTTACAGGATAGTCATGGACATCAAGGGAAGCATTCTTATACCTGAAAGTTTCCATTTTCGCCTATACAATTCTTCACCAACACAAATTTCATAATCTATATAATACATTCTCAACTGCTAGATCTAGTTATACATGACTCTTAAGGAAACCCAAAAGGTAAACATGACATTTAAAAATGAAGGCTCTTTCCTTACTGTTTTTTTTTTTGGTCATCGGTGTTTTGTTTTTTAATTTATTTATTTTTTAACATTTTATTAGGGGCTCATACAACTGTTATCCCAATCCATACACACATCAATTGTGTAAAGCGCATTTGTACATCGTTTCTCAAAACATTTTCTCTCCATTGAAACCCCTGACATTAGGTCCTCATTTTTCCCCTCCTTCCCTGCTCCCCCCTCCCGCATGAGCCCCTGATAGTTTATAAATGGGTATTTTGTCATATCTTGCCCTGTCCGACGTCTCCCTTCATCCACTTTTCGGTTGTCTGTCCCCCAGGGAGGAGGTCACACACAGTTCCATGTAATCGGTTCCCTCCTTCCTACCCATTCTCCCTTTACCCTCCCTGTTTCGCCACTCACACCACTGGTCCTATAGGGCTCATCCGTCCCGGATTCCCTGTATTTCCAGTTCCCATCTATACCAGTGTACCTCCTCTGGTCTAGCCAGTCCTGCGAGATATTCCTTACTGTTTTTAAACATTTAATATACACTAAATATTACTTCTTATTATAGATGAGAAAAGTTCCACAACATTCAATTGAAATGGAAAAATATGTAGAATTAAACTTGTCACCCTGACTCTGAGTACAATGACAGCCCTTCCTCAGGTAGCAGCCCACCCCTCGCCCCGGGGCAGTGTGTTCATCCCCAGGATGAACAATGCCAGGCCTGGGTTTTAAGATAAAGGAAAAAGCAAGAATTAGGCCAAAGCCAAAAAGTTTTTCTGGAAGACCTCCTGGGGCTACAAAGGAAGGTTTCTTGGAGCCTTATCACTGTGGTCCATCTGAGTTTCTTAAACCTTAATAACATAGACACAAGGTCAAGAAGTAGAATACCCATTTCAATATTAAGATACATTTTGTACAAACTTAATCATGGAATGAATCAAAGAGACATATCTGTCTCTCAAATGTCTACTGTTTGTATCCCAGAGCAACCTACAGCAATTGTTGAATAAAATTTTCTCAAGTAATGAATGAACCGCTAGCTGCAACGTCAGCAGTTCAAAACCACCAGCTGCTCTGAGGGAGAAATATGAGGCTCGACTTCCACGGTGAGTTACAATCTTGGAAACAGAGGTGCTTCTGCCTTGCTAGGACTCAGACTTTACTTAATGGCAATGAGATGAGTACACACTAAAAAATGTCTTGTGCTAGCATGAAATTCATCACATGACAGCCCAGAGCTATTTGACTGCTCAGTTGTTGTTTTTAATTAGGCAAACACGGAAAAGACACTGGAATTACAGGTCTGACAGACCGGGATTTGACATCTAGGTATTTAATTCTTTATTACAGTGAAACCTTTGAGATCCAGAATTCCATGGGACGGCTCAGCTTTTCCAGGTTTTTGTCTTTGTCAGGGTATAGTCCCCCATGTACCACACACCTATCACCTGCCTGTTACTGGCCTCGATATGCTATGTGTGTGATTTATATGTCACAGCAAGCCTACGGTGGCGATTTTTTTCTATTGACGTAAGTGGTTGCCCCAAGGACACACAGCTAGCAAGTGGCAGTACAAGATGCACCCAGATAGTCTCCCTCCAACCCCTTCGAATCACCGCCTCTCAAAAGGACTTAATTAGAGAATCACAGATTAAAATCTCAGTTAAAAAATAACTGCTACTTTCAAATTATAAAGGATGTTATGACTATGGTTGTGAAAGAAAAAGGAACTAACCCTTTATTGTACATGAGATTTATATGGTTGCCAATCTTACCTGAACCAATTCTCTATATGCAGACTTAGCAAGATTATAAGGTACTAAAAGATTTGACCCAAGAAAATATAGAACTTCCAGTGCAGTAAAGATCATTGCAAATTTGTTGATGATGACGATGGTCTCCAGAGGAACAAGGCAGAGGCGAGCTAGCAGAGGGAGCATGTGAGCGGAGAAGAGCCAGATCTGTTTCGTCTTCATGACACACGAGCACAGAGTACACACCACCAGCTGACCTAGGGCGAGGAGGACAATGAGTCTGCTGTCACATATAGTTTCACAAAACAACAAACAAACGCCGCTGTCTACAAGGAGGCTGGCTGTACTATTAGTGTAGGAGCTGCTTTTAAAGAAACCTAATTTCAAGGAGTACTTGAAAAGTACCTTAAAATGAAACCATCTGACCAGAGTAATGCATGTTCACTGGGGTTAATAGCAATGCTCTAGGGTTGATTTAAAAGCATGCATCTGCATCTCCACTGGTCTTCCTTGCATATATAAGATGGAGATATTTGTAAACAACATTAAATATGGTATTACAGTAATTCCATTACTACTGCTTACACACTGCACCCTTCCCAAAGGTATTCTACATTTAATAGTTCTGTAAAAGCAAGAGTAGTTACTGATCGAAAAGTCCTATGAGATTCGCTCTTGAATTCTTCCATCTTAGTTGTTTTTTATAAGACACCATAAAGCAGTGGCCCTGGCCCTGCCATGAGCGAATGACTGAACCAAGAAAGTTAAAGTATAACTAACAAATTTTTCTCACAGACGCTTAAACATAGTTATCATTTAAGAAGTTAGAAAATACAGGGCGGGGGAAGCCTTTCTCGTCACTCAAAAGCACCGATGTCAATAGCTTGGGTCTATGAAAGGAATAAAGCACTACATGTAAAGGCCCAGCCCTGTCGCTGAAACCTACAAGCTCAGAAAGTTCGGTCTGCATGGAGTTACTCTTTCAGATGACTTCCATGCATGCAAGTACACACAAATAGGTATCACAGGCCAAGAATCATCATGTGAACTTTTTTTTTTGATCATTTTACTAGGGGCTCACACAATTCTCATCACAATTCATACATACATTAATTATGTAAAGCACATTTGTACATTCATTGCCCTCATCATTCTCAAAACATTTGCTCTCCACTTTTCATGTGTCCTTTCTTGTAATCAGCTTTATTCACTCGTACACTGTATATCTTTCCATTTCATATACAGATATATAAAGGGAGGGGTTCAAAATGTTCATAGAAAAAATTCCAGTATCTTTTAAGTTCAATTTTCCATGAATTTTTGAAGCACCCTTGTACCTACATATATACAAACTTATTTTAAACAGTTGTATGGCATTCTACACTGAATGTATGTAGCATAATGCTAACCTATGGCTGCTTCCAAGTGCTTCCTAATCAGTCAGTGAGTGCTTTGTAGGACCACGCTTATACATTGAGGCCTGTTCTTATACAGACTACCTGGAGCACATTTCCTACGATTTTTTTAGGTTATTCCTAAACATTGCGTTGCTGAGTCAGTTGACACAGTCACATGACAAACGGGCCCTGGTAGTGTTGCTGGGTAAGCACTGGGCTGCAAACCACACAGTGCAGGGCTCTGAATCAATACCTAAAACCACAAGAACCCCTGTCAGGGTACTGGCTTCAACCTAAGCCTTGCAATACTTTCTGGCCCCCAAGTCACAAAGGTGACTTCGCAAGGCCAGGAAGGGAAGTAGCCCCAAGAAATGTCCCTGGTAATCCTGGAAGGCAGGGAGGAGATTCTTCACGGAACGACAGGCAGCCGGAAGACACGGACAATAAGGATAGACAAGATATGTAGTAAATAGGAATAAAAAGATATGTATACAGAAAACGGCTATCTCCTTTGTCTCCCCAATTCTGGCCTGGTGGATCTACAAATGATACCTCCTGACTACCTTGTTATGTAGCTTTTAATAAAAATCTATAGAAGTTACTGTTTATAGAAAAGTGGGTGAAGGGAGACATTGGACACTGTAAGACATAAATAATAATAATTTATAAATTATCAAGGGTTCATGCAGGAGGGAGCATGAGGGAAGGAGGGGGGAAAATGAGGAGCTGATACCAAGAAAATGTTTTGAGAGTGATGATGGCAATAAATGTACAAATGTGTTTGACACAATGGACATATGTATGGATTATGATAAGAGTTGTACGAGCCCCCAATAAAATGATTATTAAACAAAGTTACTGTTTATGTTTATCTCATTTAGTAAAATATCCAAACCATTACCAACTCTCTGTATAAAGTGCTGTACTGCTCTTTGGATTCAATCAGATATAGCTTTGATGGCCTGTCAATTGTTTCCCTCCTCTTTTCTTTCTCTTCCTCACATATGCTGGAAAAAAAATCTTGCTTGTCCTCCCTATTCTAACTTTGTGATTACCTAGAGCAGTTCAAATTCACCTACCACTCCCTTGGAGAAAGATGAGGCTGTCTGCTCCCATAAAGATTAATAACCTTAGAAACATTATATAGTGTTGCTATGTACAGGCATCAACTCTGTGGCAGTGTCGGTCATGACAAAATTAAGAATTTGATTAAGAATTAGCGAGGCAAATTTTTGAACATCTTACCAATCAAAAGCAAAGCAAAACAAAAATGTGGGGGATTTTATTTGGTTGTATCTATATTATTGCTAGAGGAACTAAAAAAAACAACTCACAGCAACCCTGAATATGTAATAATGTCTTAAAAATATCTATTACATCTTCCCCCACGAAATATTCATGTTAGCCTTTACATAACTGATATTCAAATAACGTGAAATACATTTATAAAGCTGTAAAAGAGAAAAGTCCACAGTGGTAAGTAAGAGGAGAGAGAGACCAGCAGGTGAGCTAGGCACTCTGTCCCCTACACTGGGGCTGGCAGAAGGAAAACACAGGCAACCCCTAACCTGCACCTGAAACGCCTTTTTCAGCTCAGGGAACACAATTTCTCAGCTTATGGCCACAGTTCTACTGGCTGTCACCTACTGCCCCTACAAGGGAAACTAATCAATACAAACGAAAAGACCTTCAAATACTTGTGACAAGTGCCACCCCCACACTCCAAACCAGACAGATCTACTTCACTGCACACTGTGGAACACACCCCCTGGCAAGCCTTAGCGAGCATCCAGTCAACAACTTAATAATTCACTTGGTTATAAATGATTGGCCAAGGGGACCTAATCTGATTTAACCTGTGGCTCAGTCAGTCAGATGGGCTGAGCCATCAATTATTACATATTTTCAATATACCAAGGTGATGTTCGTGCACAGCACACAAAGTTTGAAAAACACTGCTAGGGGGGTCAAGGATTAATCTTATCTGACCATCTTCCAGGGATGTGAATAGCCTTGCTCTCATGCAAAGTATAGTGATTTTGTTGTATTCTGTTTTCGATGTTTTTGTATATGAAATTCAGGATTGGTAGAGATATGGAGATGTCGAGGAAGTTTGGGAGGAAGTGTGGAACTGATGACGATGGGTACAAGAGGAAAGTAAATGTTCTAAAG